TGGAGGGGGTGCGGTGTCCAAGGGTTTTCACGGGGTTGGAGGGGGTGCGGTGTCCAGGGGTTTTCATGGGGTTGGAGGGGAAAGCTTGGGATGAGGCTTGATAGTTAGGGAGGAGCAGCCAGTGAGAAGTCAGGGCGGGAGCTGGGCTAGCTGTCTTCCAGTGGGGACAGGCTTGGCTGGGAGCAAAGGTGGGCCCAGCCGGGTGTGGTGCGTCAGATGGGGGGAGGGGAGGAGGGGAGCTGGAGACCTGGGAGGTCACCCTGCCTGCCTGTTGCTTGGGGCTGCAGCGTAAGGGGTGGAATTGGACAGCAGGAAGAACTGGGCTGAGAACTGGAAGGTCGCCTGTGAAGCTGCTTCTGAGAGTCTTAGAACACAGGGAAGGGCGGCTGGGGTGTGTGTGCTCACGATCCTGGCCTTACCCGAGGAAACTTCCAGTCGGAATGGGAGTTTGAATCCCCGCATGTGATCTCTGTTGGACTTGTAGGAGGGCAACTTGACCCAGCTGCTAGACTTGGTTTTCTCCAGAAATTCTTGGTACAGGCTCAGCAGGTCCGAGCACCAGCTGGCATTGGGAAGGGCATAATCCTTCAAGTCTGTCTTCTCTGAGCATAATTTTGAGACCTGGGCAGGAAAAATCAGAAGGACGAGACAGCGTCCTGGAGAGGGGCTGCTGCCTGGGCTCGGGACCTCTACACAGCTGTTCCTGGGTGCTGGGGGTTCTCAATCCCTTCTGCCAGAGGAGAATTGACCCAAGGGAAAGGGCCCATCTTCCCTGCAGGGGGTTTGAGGACCCCTGTGGGTGGCAGGACACAGGGGCTCTAAATAGCAAAGGAAGGGCAGGCAGTAAGTGGGGCCGGAGATGATGGGCATGTTGCTCAGTGCGGTGTGTTACCCTTGTCCTGCTTAAAACCTGTGAGCAGTTCTGTAAAGCCGACAACTGCTCATATCAGCCTCGCTGTACAGATGGGGAAACTGAGGGAATATGGCCAAGATTGGTAAGCACGTGACTGTGAGAGCTGGTGGTTGCACCATGCTGTCTCCTCTGCAGGGCAGGGTCACAGTTGTGGAGGACCACTCTAGTCACCCTGCCTCAGGGACGACTCCAGCTCTGCCCGCTGCTGTGGGCCTACCTGGGCAGGGTGGCACCTTTGAAACACATGTGGCTCCCACAGAGGTGTGGTGCCGCGTATGGGGCACAGACTATGTGCCCGTTTGTGTGACATAAGGAAGTCCTCTGTAGCGTCACCTGCTTGCACAGCAGTCACAACTGTGGGCAGCATGCAAGCTGCTTGCCAATACCACAGAGAGGGTCCTCCGTCAGGGGATACCCCAGCTTTGCTGCAATAGTCTGAGTCCCATAGGAGGAAAGCGATTTGTTGGTGGCCACACAAGGCTCAGAGCAGGATGCAGGTCTCCTGGTGGTTTTAGTTCAGAATCAGGGCCGCTTGGTATCCCAAGGCACCTTCCCTTTGCCAAATCAAATAGCTTCTCCAAATACTCTCCACCTACCCTGGCCATGGGCTGGGAAGAGGAGATCTGGGGTGCTCCTTAAGCCCTAGGCTCTTGGGAAAAGGCTGCGCATCTGGCTGAGCTGGGAACTCACTCACCGGAGAGTCTGTGGAGGATCCAAATGCTGAGGCAGGGTTGAGTCTGGGCAGGACACGGGGGGCCCCAAGAAGGCCTCTGTGGTGGCCAAGTCTTGCCATCACCTGGAAGCCTCTCCTTATCATGGCCAAGTGCAAGGATCTGGCCCTGCTTGGACGGAGGGTCTCGGCTGACTCCTAAGGAGTGCTTCAGCTGCACTTGGGGCCGCTTCTCTCCCTTCTGCCGCAGGCTTTCTTTCAGAGAGCTAGGCAAGGCTAGGTTAGCGTGCTGTGACACCTGTGTATGTTCACTGCCTTTCACTGGGCCCAGGACCCCACCCAGTGCTTGAGGAGGGGCAGATGTTGTTGGGCACGAAAAGGCAGCAGGACTGACTTGAGTTGCGAAAGGAGTGGGAGTGAAAAAGCACGTAAGCAAGGAGTGTGGGTACACAGAGCCTTGGAGAGTTGCCTGCGGGTCCGAGGGAAAATCCAAGAGTATTTCCAGAAAGGTAAGGAAAGCTCATTTCCTGATTGGAGGATGCTGGTGGAGTGTTTGCGGCATATGCTCTGCAGTGCACACCTGACTGAAAACTCTGGTATGATTTTGAGACTCAGAAAACCAACTCACAGCCTTAGACGCCTCCTTTTTCTTTTTTTTTTTTTGAGATGCAGTTTTGCTTTTGTCACCAGGCTGGAGTGCAATGTCAAAATCTCGGCTCACTGCAAACTCTGCCTCCTGGGTTCAAGCGATTCTCCTGCCTCAGCCTCCGGGGTAGTTGGGATTGCAGGCGCACACCACCACGCCCAGGTAATTTTTGTATTTTTTTTTTTTAGTAGAGATGGGGTTTCACCATGTTGGCCAGGCTGGTCTCAAACTCCTGACCTCAGGTGATCCTCCCACCTTGGCCTCCCAAAGTGCTGGGATTACAGACATGAGCAACTATGCCTGGCCTGAACCAGTTTTTTTTTTTTTTTTTTTAAATCTATTCAGGCTCTTGGCCTAAGCAAAGATATTTGAATGGGTTGCCACCTCCAGATAAGTAGGAGCTCCAGCAGCAGTCATGTTCAGCCCTGGGCTGCAGCTGTTGCTATAGCTGGTACCTTGTGCCTGTGGCTTGCCCAGGCCTCCCTGGCACTTGGTGTCCCTTGATTTCCTGGGTCCATCCTTGATCTGGAAGGACAGACTTGAGGAGAATATAGGATAGAAAAGAAAGACCGTAAGAAGGATAGGAGAACTGGAGAGGAGCCAGAGGAAAGGCAAGTGGGGGGCAGGAGGGGCTCCTCAGGTGGCCCTGACAGCTGAAAGCTGGTCCCAGCAAGGTGGCCCCAGGACGAAAGAGCTGTCCTCCTAGGAAGAGTCAGTAGGGCCGGGCGCAGTGGCTCACGCCTGTAATCCCAGCACTTTGGGAGGCCAAGACGGGCAGATCACCTGAGGTCGGGAGTTTGAGACCAGCCTGACCAACATGGAGAAACCCCATCTCTACTAAAAATACAAAATTAGCCAGGGAAGGTGGCACATGCCTATAGTCCCAGCTACTTAGGCAGGAGAACGGCTTGAACCCGGGAGGCAGAGGTTGCAGTGAGCTGAGACTGCACCATTGCACTGGCAACAAGAGCAAAACTCCATCACACACACACACACACAAAGTCAGTAGGTGGCTGGATGCAGTGGCTCATGCCTATAATTCCAGGATTTTGGGAAGCTGAAATGGGCGGATCGCTTGAGCCCAGGAGTTCAAGACCAGCCTGGACAATACAGTGAGACCCTGATTCTACAAAAAAGAAAAAAATTAGCTGGGCATGGTGATGTGCACCTGTGGTCCCAGCTACTCAGGTGGCTGAGGGAGGAGGATCACTTTAGCCCAGGGGTTTGAGGCTACAGTGAGCCCAGATTGTGCCAGGGCACTGCAGCCTGGGTGACAGAGTGAGACCCTGTCTCAATTAAAAGAAAACAAAGTCAGTAGTTGAACCTGGGAAAGGAAATCGCTGTTTCACTGGCTGAGAGCCGCTTGGGAGCTGGGCGTCCTCCAGCCACTTCCCCATGTGATCCCAGTGGGGTCTGAATCTCTTGTTGCCTCCTATGTTGGTTGTTTGACGATCTCTGATTAAATTGACTTTCAAATATTTACATAATTATGATTATGTCACTTTTGCTCTCAGCCCTGCCACATACTACAGTTACATTTGTTCCCTGTATAACTCTGTTTTCTTGAGTGGATAATCACCAAGGTTCAGCTGGATGATGTGGTCCAGGGGAAAACAGGGGAAGGGAAGGAGCTGGCGAGTGGTCGAGGTCAACGTTCACTTCCTTGCTAGGAGGGAAGAGTGTCCAGCAGGGAGAAAATAAAAGAGACGAGGCTCTGGTGCTGTCTGTGATACTGCAGAGCATCTCTGGTTGGATCAAGGGCATGACAGATGAAAGGAATTAGGATATCTGAGAAGAACATCCATGGCTGATGGTACAACCATGGGCGTGGCCCCGAATTAGGCTGGCCGGAGGAGAGTGAAGGAGGTTTCCAAGGCCATCTAGGAAGAGAAAGATTAGGATTATTGAGAAAGTGCTCCTTTCCCCCTTTCCAGCTCTTCCTTCCACCATTCCACACATCTTGTGGATACTTTCTGCAGCACGGAGCCCTTCCTGGATATGGGCCAGTTGTCAGCTCTCCAGGGAGGTGGAAAGGTGCCCAGCTAATACTTTGAATGGGTTTTGTGACAACATGAACTTCAGCCCTAGCCCTTCTCTTCCTGTATAAATTTAGCTCAGAGAAAATAAAGAAAATTCAGCCCAGAGACAAGAAAGCCTCTCTTCAGGCCTGGGGTCTCTGGAGAAACAATCAGGAAAAGGAGGAAGCCAGTGCCCATTAAGTGTAGCTGAGAACTCCTGCTGAGTTTTGGTTTAGCTTACTGCTGGCCTGGTTCATTTCCAGCTTGGGATCCATGGGTGGACGTTGAGTTCGGAAGCTTCTCTTCCTGGGGTACGACCTGTGCCCAGAAGCCAGTCCTATGCCTGATCTGCCCATGGTCCACAACAGAACCAGCACGTGATACGCGGGCAAACATGTAACAGTCTTATGTGGGACTGGGGTAGGTCGGGGGAGCTCTGATTTGTAGCATTTGCCCATTTCTGCAGTGTAAACACTCCCATGGTGGCTGATTTCTAGCTGTCAATATGAAGTCACTGTGCAGTTAAGGGGAGGTGAGCCCAGTCAGCTTTTGTAAACCAGTAGGAGCCGGCTCCAGCATAGCACTGGGCGAGGAATCTCTTTGGCTCGGAGTGAAAGAGCAGGCGTAACCAAGGCCTTGGTGGGTTCAACACGTCAGCTCTTGGTCCCAGATTTAAACTCACTTGTACTTCTCTATCTTTTGGAGTTTCCTTCCCTTGGAAGGCTGACTATGGAGTACCCAGTCTCCCCAGCTTGTCCTCTTTGTTGCCCCCTCAAACAAATTCACAGGACATGTTTTGTTCAAAGACATTTATTGTTAACCACTAAGAGGAAACAGGAAGATGATTAACATTCCCAGAAATCTCCCAAAGTCCTCCATGTCATGGGTGGCCCTGGGGGCCCTTCTCAGATCACGCTGGACATGTGCTGAGCTCCCCTGATGTGGACTGACTGGCCCCCTGCGGGATGGTGGGACTCCCGACACTTTGGAATGGTGCTGTCTGGGCTGATTCCCATCTGGCCAATCTGGATGAGGAAAGACCTTTTCTAGACATCAGATCCCACCTGAAGATTCAGCCCCGCGGGCTTACCATGGGCAACTTCTGGAGGGCAACTCCTGCTGAGGCTGCCCTGCCCTCAGGAGAGCCGAGTTCCTTGACTTGCAGAGCTAAGGGTCAGAGGCAAGCTGGGCAGGAGGAGCTGTGCCTAATAGGGGTGGTGGGCAGACCCAAGGGGTCTTGGGGGCAACTCTGGCCTCACCCCATGTGGGAGTTACCTTGATATAGGCCCAGTTGCCGATACCTCTGCTTTTTCAAGAAAAGGTGGTGCCAATCTAGACTTGTATGTGAAAACTCCTAACCTTTAGATGCTGCAATAGTAACTTATAAAAATACTGCCTGAAGGAAACCAAATGCCTCTGACTAGATCCTGTCCTGTGAGTTGCCGGTCCCGCCCCCTGGTTCTCAGCTCATTCCCAGGCCCTCCAGGAGTCTGCTGCTTATCTGCCCCAGATCTAGTCTCTGACGCTTTCCAGATTAGCCAGTTTTTCCTGGTTCCCTCTGGGAAGGACCTTCTTGAGATTCATTTTACACCCTGGACACCCAGAGAGGACTCTGAAAAGGAAAGTAATTGTTACATGTTGAAACGAATAAATCGGCTGGCTCTATGGGCCTCAGGCTTTGTCCAGCTTGGGGAAGGGAACAAACCCACCCTCAGACAGTCCAGGGCAGGTGAGGACTCTCTGCAACCAGGAAAAAGATTGTCTTGACAAGACATGGGGCACAGGATGGGAGCTAAAAGAAATTATGCAGCCGGGGAAAATTTCTCTTTCATTAACTCAGAGTCAACGTTGTCCTCTTCACCATCATTTTGCCATTCTCCTCATGAAAATCCACTCAGGTTACCATTGAAACTAAGAAGCAAAATAAAATAACTAATTTTATTTTATTACGTAATACAATGAAATAATGTAATCTACTCTTACATTATGACCCTTCATAGGGATATTTATATTTTATTTTATTTATTTAGTGTAACAGAGATGGGGGCCTCACAATGTTGCCCAGGCTGATCCTTAAACTCCTAGCTCAAGCAATTCTCCCCCCTCAGCCTCCCAAAGTGCTGGGATTGCAGGCCACTGAGCCCAGCCAGAATATGTACATTTTAAAAGAGAAGGAGAACTTTATCAATTTCTTTTTTTTTTTTTTCTCCTAGAGATAGGATCTCACTCTGTGACTAAGGCTAGAGTGCGGTGATGTGATTATGGTTCACTGCAGCCTTGATCTCCTGGACTTGATAGATTCTCCTGCCTCAGCCTCCCGAGTAGCTGGGACCACAGGTGCATGCCACCACGTTCAGCTAATTTAAAAAATTACTTGTAGAGATAAGATCCCACTGCGTTGCCCAGGCTGGTCTCGAACTCCTGGGCTCAAGCAAGCCTCCCGCCTTGGCCTCCTGAAATGTTGGGATTATAGGCGTAAGCCACCATGCCTGGCCTAAAACTTTATCAATTTCTTGATCAGGGTATTATTCTTTATAAATACAAAGTTTTCAAAATCCCAAATTGGAAACTCTGGCCTTGTGTGCAGTGATAAAATAAATATCCCTTCCACCTCTGCCTTCTCCAGGATCCCTCTCCACTTACACCATTGCACCTTTACACACTTCTGTGTTAGTCATCACAGAGGGGTAGTGAATCCTGATGCTGGAAGTTTGGAATCTGAAGTCAGG